TAGGTCAGAAAAAAATGTTTAGAAAACATTGAAAGGACTATATTCCTACGTATCTTTTCAGCCCTAAAACACAGCCATGCCATCAAAAGCTGTATACATTGTATGGGAATAAAACCCTAACCCTAGCTTTGGGTTTTGCTAGTTAGGGTTGGGGTTCAAATATTTCTCAAAGACAATCTTCTCAATATTCCACTCATTAGACTGGAAAATGTCCTTCTCTGAATTAAAATATGAGTCTGAAAATTCAATTCAAAATTGCCAAAACCAAAAGAGTGTGTCAGGAATGGTCAAATTAATTGTTGAAAGGTATTCTTTCATTGGAAATTTTGGGTTGAACACAATTGGGTTGAACCTTTACTTTATCAACAAAACCGCAAAAGCAAAAACAGCAAAAAAAGTATATATATATTCCATGTTTTTACCTTATTCTGAAGCATGATATATATCCAAAATAACCCAGACTAGCTTATCTCCAGACCTGGAATCTGTTGAACGTTATTGACTTTGTAGTAAATGTTTGAAGAACAACCACAAGAAATAAGGCGATCTGATTAGTAAAATTTCAGAGCCCATAGGATGTAAGACTTCCTCTAGAAGCCTTGAGCTGCATTTTGTCTGCCTTTTAGCTGTCAATCATTGACTCAGAAGGGGTACTCAATCAGTTTCTTATCAGTGCTCCTTTTTTTCACACCAGAAGGCAACTCGGAGATTTTTTTTTCATTGCATAACAGCAGATAGAGGCTCTCTAGCAGTGTCTAAAGGTTTTTATAGCAATTGCAATGGTTTCTATTCTTATTATTTTCAATATTTTTATGATTTTTTATTATAGGCGTGAAATTTCATTCCAGGTCCAGTCTTCACAAAACATGATGTAGAATATATTCTAATTGATCAATTTGTCCCAGATTTTTATCCAAGCTAGTAGTCACCTAGAACAAGGTTTTCAAATCATTCCCAGGGCCTTAACATGCATATAGTTTAAAAATCTGACCTCTGAAGACCAAAAACACATTTTCGCCTGCTTTTTTTTTGGGAGGGGTTTTCCATATGTTTGTCTTCTGAGTGGACACATTAAGAAATATAAGAAATTTGACTGTTCACACTCAAAGCCAAGGGGGTTACCTTCAATTTAAGACCTGAACCAGGCTCTTGCTATGTTCTGCTGCAGAGATATAACAAATGTTTAAGAGGGAGGAAATTCCAGGTGGAAATTGGCTAAATGTATCAATGGTGAGAACAGGTAAATACTACAAAAAAAAGACTTATAGAAAAATTGATACATTTGGAGTTTTGTTATAAGCTTACTTTTGGAAAACATTTAAAATACATATACTGTATACAAATATGATTTTTTGTTATTTATTTCAGCTAAATTCCAATATTTACAATAATACATCACAAAGTGTTATTTCCATAGACAAAGATTTATTTAAGAAAAAAATGCAACAATGTAATGTTTTGTTTTTTTTTATGATAATTTCTGAAAGTACTCCAAATAGGTCTGCAGGGAGCACTGTATTTCCAAAAAAAAAGGTCCAGGCTTATCAAAATAAACAGCACATACTTGTTAAAACATACATTAAAAGAGCTGGCTGTGTTCTGCTGAGGCACAAGCTTAGACAATTCAGAATGAAAATTCAACAAGGAGAGTTAAACATGGAAAATGTTTTAAAAAGAACTTCATGCCTGGTAGTTATGCAAGTACTGCTATCGTTTTTACTTCTAAGGCTGTTGCAGATTAGCCATTTTGAATAGTTCCATCAGAGTGACTTTCTCCTCTGTCTCCAGATTCACAGTTGTCAATGTCCAGTAACTCAAGGCCTTCTTCAATGACTGGTCTTTCAATCTCTTGTTCCAGGAGCTCTATTTTCTTGCATTGAAGAATCCCTGTCAGATCCATGTCTTTAATGATACTGTCTCCTTTTTCATACCCTGTGACTCCAAAGGGGTGGCTGGTCTCTGTGTCAGAGGGAGAATTGTTCACTCAGTAAACAGATTTCAAGAATACTAAGAATTCCTCACATCCTTTTCATCATTTTTCATAGACATTGAAAGACGTGCATAGACTTGTCAGACTACGAAAGTAGTTAATTTCATAACAATGATTTTCAAAGTATTTTTTTAGAGCAAAAGCTGCTCTTCAGTTACTGAATGCAACCCTAAAACCATGATGGAAATGGCAACTAGGATTAAGAAATTGGGAAAACAAATGTAAAATTGTTTTTCATTTACCTGTAGGCTTGGGCGTTATTACGGGGGGTGTTTTTGGAGAGAGACAGTTTTGAAAGTTCTTTTGTGGGTTTAAACAGAACATGTCAAACTGTGCTTGTGTACAAATGATATCTTCTCGAGAATTTCTTGAGCACTGATGCATCCTAACAAGTTGCAGCACAAAGCAAGGTTGAATTAGCTGAGTTTAAACATCAGGCAATTGTACTTAATGTTTGCAGTGCTCTATCTGATTTGGGCTAAATGTATTTTCTCATATTTAGTGAAAAAAGGTTGATATCGGCAGGCTAAGAAAAATACTTGTAACTAATATGCCATATCAACCCTGTGCTAGAGTCTATAAAATCCCATCAACACCCCCTCTGTCTGACCCTTAGCCTTACCTGTGCCAAGAGGGTTTATTTCCCAGGCCGAGTTGCTACCCTGTTCTGGGTGAAACACACAGTCGTTATCCTGTTCTGGGTGAAATTCTTTGACCACAGTGACTGTGGTACAACATGACAGCAGGAGCATCATGTCTTCGAAGAGGGAAAACCTCATGTTGGTTTTCTTCCTTTTCTTCTTCTTGTTCTTGTCCTGGCCTGGTTTAGGTTTGTCCCAGGCTACTCTTTGAATGCCAGATTTGCTCTGGTCAAACACCTGAAATTCTGCCTCCAGTTTCCCTGCTTCACTATGATTCTGACCCATAGCAATACAACTGACAGAATTAAAATCACAGCATAAGTTATCCCGTGTTAATTGTGCACTAGGCAGCAATTCACTGAATCCAGTTAGTCTGAAGGTGTTTTTATAAGCTTGTATAGTGGAGGAATCCATGACATCACATCCAGCAATTGTGATGTTGGCATCACATAAGTTATGTCATAATAGGCTTTATTGTGATGTAACTCTTGTTATTAACAACTAATTAACTGTTTAGTAATTTTAGTGATTGTTTTTTTCACTGATTTTAGCAATCCTTTTATATCATTGGTATCCCAACCTAATCCTAAATGGCTAAGTGTATCTGTAATTTTTCAAGATCACAAGAAGAGCTGGGAGAAGCTGTTAAATTGGTCTAAATGAGCCACTAACTAGCTGATTTAGCTTATTAAGAGCTGAGATGTAATGAGTCTCTGCAGATGAATCCCTGTAATGAATCCCATTGCTCAGTGTCCATCAATATGTTGAGAACAAAGTGTTATTTTGGTGGGCTAAAATCTAAAAAAAAAGCATCTGGTAGCTAGTGGGCCAGTTGCAGTCAAAAGACACACAAAAAACGAAAAAAGACTTCAATACTTCTCACCTCCCTGAAAAATGCTGTGTCAAGTAACTGACCAAACACTAGAGGGAGCTTTTGCACACTAAAAAAAAACCTCAATCTGATGGGAGGCATGGATGGTGAAGATTATTAGTATTGTTTATGTCACCTTGAAGTCTGTGCAAATTAAAACAAGTATTTACAGTATTTATTATTCATTACAGATTTTCACATGTGTTAATAAGTACTGACTAGTAAATAGAATATCTATGACATGCAGTTAGATAATATATTGTTCAAATTTGATTCTAAAGCCTTTTCAATGATTCCCATTGAAGGTATTATATATGCATGTATTATTTTATATGTACATCTATAATGCGTGTACCAATTATTTAAATGTGAACAGTAAATGTTTTTATTGTCTAAAATCGTATTCTGGACTCATTTGTTTTAGGCATATCATACAGTATTACTGAAAATATATTGCATATTGACTTTCAAAGATTCCTGAAATCCAAAATATGAAGAATAAAGTGATTTTATTTCAATTAAAACACACGTGGTTTACTACATTATAATATTTTTATTCTTTATTCATGCTGGGCAAAACCCGTCATGACTTTCCTCTAAAGGCAATTTCCATCTCCTAGAAAAAAAAAATAGTTTTACTCAAAAGTTTAATTTAAGGACATTTTAACTAGTTAACTAGTCATAAAAATATAATTACGACATTTTATACTCACATTTTGAAACCTGATTATAATCATTACTCAACTTAAAGCAGAAATACAAATCAAGTTTATAAAATAAAGTCATATCAAAGTGTTTCACTGTTAAATATTGTAAGCATTACCCCAGTCCTAAATTAGAAATAAGCTGTTTTTTTTCTTCTTTTTTAACCTTTTTCTTCTTATTTTGATAGAAACAAGGTTTATTTTCTCAGTGTACCTGAAATTGGAAGATCTACATGGGGCAGGGAAAATGAGTAGGTCTCGTTTGTCAAAAACAATTAGAGAACATAACAGAGAAATTCAGCACAACAGAAAAAGATTTTAGTAAATGACTAAAGTTTGCAGACATCATCTTCTTACCTGTGTCTGACTAGTCAAGTCAGACCCAGGTAAGACCACTCTTGAGAATTTATAAGAATACTGCCATTGCACAAATGTTTTTAGAGAATATCAGCAGTAAACACACAGAAATAAGATTACTTCAATTCATTAACTGTGAGGCAAAAATGAAAACGATTTTCTTGTTTTTCCCCAACATTGATTAGCTGCTTTTGCACTCCACTCTTATGAAAAACCATCTGAATGAGTGTTTAAATTGTCACATGGATATAACCTGTAAGTCTATTTTCTACTTACATTCATCAGTTCATTAGAAGCAGCTATCAAATTCTTTTTCAGTGTGTCACTGATTTCAACATCTGAAAGTACTATCCAGGCCCCATTCTGGAATTTTACAGGCATGGAGAAAACTAGCCCCTTGGGAATTCCAAACTGCCCTGCAACCAATCAGAAAAGTAATCCAAATTAATATTAAATACTCCAACAAAATGTGATTAAAATAATTATCAAGATCATCTAATGGCATAATAAGGAATGGCATTGCATTATGTCTGAGCTGTTCATCTCAGACATCTTTTTAAGGTGTGAAGCTGATCTACCTTCACTAATGACCCCAAGAGACAAGACATCATCAACCGGGGAGTCATGATTCCAGCACTGCAGGACAGTGGCTATCCCATTAGCTGCAGACAGTCCTGCAGGCCGATGCATTTTGTCCTCCGCGGCGCAACGTCGAGATCTCACAGAGGCTAGAAAGTCGGTCTCCAGCCATTTGCTGTGAAAAAAAGGGCAGAAACACTGTTAAAACAGTGTGAGAGTGGTTTGAATAAAGTCTAGAATGTAAGGAAACATCTGAGACCATGCTGTTGTTCAAATGGGACACTGGGGAACACTTTCAACATTTCTTCAAATGAGAAATGTGTCCTTGGGTTCAGTGTTCTCTAAATCAGAAAAATATTAGTGCAACGCTTTACTGTTAATACCCAGTGTAGATCAGTTAAAATAATAACTAAAATCAGTCTATGATATTGCAATGTGGCTGTTTTATTGAACTGTAAAAGCTGTAATATGTTATATGGTACATGGCATACTGTAAGTAGGTGTAATAACAATAGTAGCTTGCTTCCTTTTGCTTTGCTGGGTGTGATTAGGAAAGGGATTTCACTGGATCCTACCGGTCATATATGACTTCCAAAACTGGTTGAGAGAAATCTGGAGGCCCAAAGATAGCACCATCGTATCTAAAAACTTTGGCTCTTTGGAGATCGATGTAAGAGTTCCCAGTTATGTTACCCCACACAATGACATCTTTCACATCTGTGAAGACAAGAAAGGGTAACAAAGCTTCATTCCAGGATAAAAAATGGGACAAATGGAGGAAAAGATTTGTTTTTAATTTAGTTTTTCATGTTTTCAATTGAGAGTGTTTAGCACTAGGCAGATTTTCTGAATCCTAAGATTCAGAACTAGCAATTAAGGAAGTATTGATCAAATCGAAAAAGACTCCAGGATTTTTATCTTATGTAGAAAAAGGTAGGACTGTTTCCTTTCAAATATGTTTTTATTTCTATATCATAGTCTTTTCTCTATATAACCTTCAACTCTTATCTAAACTCTGTCCTCTCCATGCCAGAAGATCTATTCTGAATTTACATATAGAATCCTCTACCAGCATTTCCAGATTAAGTCCTTCAGAACATACATGTAACTGGTTTCTACATGTTTTAGCAGTGTCCTGTGACTGAAAGTTTTTAATTCACAAGGATTCTTCAATGACCTCGCACACTTTGATGAGTCCCACCAACCACTTTTTTCCTCTCAGCTACCATTTATATATTTTTTGTCAGAATTCATTAATCTCTTGCGATGCTTTGAACATTAATAAAACATTGGTAACATAACACATTTTCCAAAATCATTCAGTGCCATATTCATCCTTAAAATATAATCTAAGCTTCAGTACTCAATATTTGGCAGCCATGTACAGTGCACATTCAGAAAACAATATTCTCGATATACAGTAAACACTAGAATATAGGAATATAATTAAGTACTTGTGAATTAATCTTGCAAGATGACATAATATCAACGTGTTAGAATGGGTAATTTAAAATGAGAACATTAATCACCACTACACTACAATTGTCAAGCCAAAAAAACCTGGTTTTGCACTGTTTCTTTAAACACGCTTTCAGTTTGGAACATATCTTAATAATTACAGTGCTTACAAATATGTCAAATGTTTTTATGGATGTTTAAATAGTGATACACTGATGTATGTTGTTTTTTAGCATTAAAACTGAAATATTTAAATACTAGTTAGTGATTTTCCCCAAACTGTAAGAAACCCTATAGTATGTTTTTTCCCCCATTAGAACCAGTTTTACAACAACAGAAATCACAGTGGGTTTTGTTGTGAAAGATGGGCACACAATTGTCAGATCATGGAGCAAATGAAACATAAAATGTATAACATTTGTTTTTTTCAGGTTCAACTTGGGGGAACTCTAGAGAGATTGTGAGTGTTACTCACAGTGAAAATCAAGAGAGTAAAAGATTTCCTGTGCCGTAAAAAACAATGAAGAACTACACTTCTAAACCTTATGAAATTTCTGAATAAGAACTGTGACTATGGCTCAGTTCGGTCTGAAATTTCATACGATTAATCAGGCTAGTTTAGTGAAACCCATCTAAAAATGCTTATGGAATAAGCATACTGTATAATATTGGATAATTATAAATGGTATTTAACAGTGAGGGATGTTTATGCGCATCCATTAATGTAGAATAACACTAGACCATCACTGTTTCTCATTTAATTTACAGCAATAAGGCTGTTAAGTTTTTAGACCGATACACATGATACTTGGCAAAGGTCAAACTCCTTTCGCCAAACATGTAAAAAAAAAATTTAAAAAGTTCAACAAAAACCCCTACCTGCAGTATTAATATTTAATTTCTTAGCCAGCTGAGCCCTTGCTTCGTTTTCCAGTTGAATAGCAGTGGCAACAAACTGATGGGGATTAATAGAAGGTGCATTTTGCATTACCACGAGGCATTTTAAGTTGACGTAAGAATTCCCAGCAACCACAACGCGCACCTCTTTGTGTGAATGGCTGTCGATGAGCAGGCCATAGTTTTGGCAGCGGTCTGCAAGTTCTTTAATGGCCCTCTCTCTAAGAGCCTGATCTTCCTCTGGCTGAATGTCATCCAGAATGAGCACAACATCGGCATCGCGAAAGGCCTCACTTAGCTCAGTGTGGATAGTGATCTCATGGAATATGGGCAAGGCTAGGTCTTCAGCCTCTGTCTTCAGACTGCAAAGCTCTTCTTCTGAACCACCGATGTCTAGAAGGTGTAGACTTATCACGGTGTTTTCTGAAAATAAGTCTCTCTTGCCCAGCATGGGGAGCAAGGCATAGCATACTGGACTCAATGCACTGAAACAAGGAAAGAACTGTCAGCTTATATTTTGATCCCTCATGATCCTTTCTGAAACACCGTTATCCATAGCGTTTGAAACCATTAATTATAAAAACACCTGCCCTCAGTGTGATATGTTTCAATAGCCCATGGCCTTATGACCTGCTGCTTACACTGAGCCTAGTCTGAAAAGGTTAATTCTCTTGAACACTGGACTTTACCTGATCCATGGATCATCAGATAACTGATAGCAGGAAAAACATTTTTAAAACTGTTTACAAAAGGTCCTACAGTATGTTACTATGGAAATAACTTTAATTATTACAAATTTTACAGGCTTTAACCCTTCAAAAAACAATGCATCTTTGTTAAAGATGGTCAAATGAGAGCAACAAACTTCACGCTCACTAATCATGTTTAATGATTCTGACTTACTTCTTCATTCTTTTCAACCTTTTGTGACCTTTAATATATAAAGATATAAAACTGGTACTTTTGCCGACATTATTGGTGTTCATTAAAAATCAGTGAAAGAACCATTTCGATTTAACCTGTGCTTTTTAACCGCATTAGGGTCACTGCAGATGTGGGCCTTTAGCACTGGAGATTGGTCTCCATTTTACCTTGTGATCCATATGTGCAGTGGTTTGATCAGACTCCTATAATACGCCTCCTCTTCCATGACATCTATTTTGGTTTGCAAGTTCTCGGATGCAATGTTCTTCATCATCTCAGTCATCATGTCTGAGCTAACGCCATAGTAACCCTAAAAATAAAAATAGTGTGTGTGTGACACAAAACGATTCAACGGGTTTCGTTTTCAGTTCTAGCCTAAATTTATCAGATGATCAGAGGGGGCAATCCCTGTCTTGTCTGCCAAAACCAAAATCTGATAAATTTGTCATAAGCAGTAACGTAAGGCAACTGCAAGTAAAATGACCAAAAAAACGAAAAGTGATTAATTTAGTTTGCAATTACTTAACTTTGCCCACATTTAAGACTGTAAATTTAACTTATAAGCTTGATTACACAACAATACAGTTCAATATTACTATTATAATGATGACTGTTTTAGACAAGCAATCCTTAGGTAGCCAATTTAAATTCCTTACACATTATTCAGTTTAAACAGTATTCATGACTGTTCTGGCCTGTGCTTTGTTACATGGGTCTGCATCCCAAGTCTTACACAGCCATGGGTATTGCCCTTTTGTTTTAATTAATAATTGATTGGACCAATTATTTCCATACATACTGTAACACAACAGATCACTTTATTAGCCCTATACAACTTCTTGCATTAGGAATTTGTCTTTTTGCATACCCGAGCTTGCTCTCCATGAGACACATAGACACTTGGATCATAGACTCAAGCTCCAAGTCTCATTCAATTCAAATTCAAAGCTATCCAGTTACCTAGAGGGACTGTCTCGTCTACTCAGTATTCACAAATAATGTCTTCAACACCGTGGCTCTCAAGACTAAGGACTACAGACCTTTGCGCCAGACGTTTTGTAATCCATTAAAGAAGCTGGAATAGAAACTCTCAAACGGTTGTAAACAAGTTGAAAGAAGTGCAAGCAATAGTAAAGAAATTATCGGTAATGCTTTAGAAAAATTAGTCCTACTTGCGCATGCTCCAGAAATTCACTAAAGCCACCTAGCAGAAGTTCCTTTCCTCCTCGGTCAACAAGCTCTCTCCATACAATAGGAGACCGGTCATGTTTCCAGCCATTCTTTTCACAAGTCTCTTCAAGCCATTGCTGGGGAGGGATTTGGAAAGCTTACACTGTATTCCATAAAAAAGCAGGATTCTCAGACTAGGATAGTGTACACTGCAGCAGAACCACAGCGGTTAAACAAACAAGTAAATAAATGCATCCACTTGGTATTCTAATTTTTACAACAATATATGTAATGGAAGCAAGCTATGCTTAAAATACAAAAAAATCAGCCTTTCATTTAATTTGTGTATCAGAAAGTTCAGGATAATTTTTATTTTACTTAGAATATTTACAGTATGTAAGAAACATGCTAACGTATGGTTAAAGAGTCAAATTAGGAATAAGAAACAGCAAACCAGGCTTAAAAAATGTACAATATATGAATAAGCACAGAAAAGGTTAATTTCATGCTGAAAAGTAGAAAGAAAAGTCAAGAACAAAACATTTTGGCTGTTGGGATTTTATTATTTTTACATTGCAGGCAATGCATGCTGATTCAGTTCAAACCACTTAACATACAAAAATGGACTTCCTCAAGACTACCAGTGAAATATAATCTGTAGAGCATAAGTAATATATACTTAGTTAGTTAATGTAACAATTACTGTACACTGTACTAGTGCACTTACGTTAATGGAATTAGTGATACTACTATTAGTATGCTAGTGAAAATGCATTTAAGAATGAGAATGGGTGGCACTTCAGGGGCTAATGGGAGTCTGTAACCAGCTAGCCAGAAAATTATTAAAGTTATTGAAATAGAAGGACTTAGTATACTTCAAGAAGCAACTGTATGAGATCAATTATCTACCTACTGTACCAAACAAACTACAAGGACAGAATGGCTTCTTCTCATTACCTACTGTATGTTCTTAACACATCATGTTTAAGAGCTATCAAATCTCACTTGATTCTCACATGAATATGAATCTGTTAAAGTTCTTACCTCCCAGTCCTTTGGGTGGTGGCAAATTTTGTAGATGCTAAAGCTAGGAAGGTTTCTTTGAAGTAAATCTGCAAGCAGCTCTGCTTTGGCATAATACGGACAGTCTGCCCTACCTAGAGAGAGAAACAAAAGCATTCTTTAAATAGGCTGGCCTGTCAAGTCAATATCAGAGCCATGTATTGTACTGTAAAAATGTGGCCACTAAACGTACTTTGTGAAACAGTGTTCTACATTTTAAAATGAACAGAATTGTTCCGTATCATTTATGATTTTTAATTAGCATCATTCCATCTGTCAAAAGCAAAAGTAAAGGCATTGGCTAATCTTATTTGTACTATGCAAAGATACTCTTTGTACATTCATTATAGCAAAGGGCACATAATAAACATCAAATCACTTGTCTATCTGTGCACACACGAACAGTCATTTATAAAACAATGTTTTCTTTGCAAGTTTCAACCTGAAACTATAATTAGTTAAATATTCGGTTTTAAACATTTCAATGCCGGCAATATAATACAGTATATCAAGCCATATCTTCTCTAAATTAATCGAGCAAATGGCATGAGAATTAATTGAAGACTTAATGCAAATATGTCAAAGTGGAACAATGAGGTATATCAGACAGTGTCTCAATAACTTATTTTAATAAAGCCAGTCCTATAATTGATCTATCAATTAAGACAAGACACTATGTTTTGTTTGGACAAATGTTTGAACTATTCTAAGATATCCTTTATATAAACAATTACTTTCATATTTCAGAATTTCAGTACGTTTTACAATTTCTCTTACCAGCTAGTACGAATTTAGCCATTTTGCTGTGATTTGTTTATGATGGTTGCCTGGTAACCCAGTGGTGTCACATAATATGTCGTCCTCTCAGAAACGCTTTGCTGTGTTTGTGGTTCACAAACAAATATACACTTTATTACTTCATAACGATTCATTACTTTTAAATCCCTTTTAAATATTTAATACATATATATCATTGCCCCAAATTCCATTATCTACAGAGGTGAAAAAATAATTTAAACAATAGATTTTCAGTACCCATCTATTTATGGCTATTGCACAAATAGTATAACTAATATAGGTTTTTCTATTAACTATTTTCATGTTAATTACATTAATATTACCGACTGTGTACGTAATAGTATAAAATGCAAGAAATGTAGAGGTTTTAAAGGATATTTATAATTCAGCAGGATGTACAAAGTGTTGTTAGTGTTTTCCCCGAACTAGTGTGAGACAGGTCACGTGATTAAACTGTCATGGTTGCCCACATTGGGCATGAGGTGAGTGTACGTAAATGAAGGTTATAATTCACTACTGCTTAATCATACTAGTTCTGTTTGAAAACGTTATTGTTATGAACATGTATTTATTATATATAAACTGTAAAACGTACATTTTTCTGAGTATCTGAGTAGCTTGAACCCACTAGTACATTAATATCCGTTTTGTGAGTTATGATATAGCTCTTCGTTTTTCTTATTCAGTTAAACTGTTTTCAATTTCATTCGTTCAATAAATTATTTAGTTCTTATACAGGAAATATGAAACGAAATATGAATATTGAGTATTGTCAGTCTGTTCTTCGGATAGGACCTAAATCAAACAGTATCCGCGAGTCGTTCTGAATTGTAATACGTATTTTCACCCTTCGTCTGTGTTGGTTGTTTTGAATAAAATAGTCTCCTGTATGATAATCATTTAGACATTGGCTTGTAGACGCGAGAGTTATATTTTTTAATAGTAGTATGCACTCCCTTTTCTTATCATTTCAGGTGATGCTTGCTAAAGTCGTTCCAACGTTGTGCAGCCTTTGCTTAGCAAAATGAGTGTCCACAAGTCAGGAAACCGGTTAATTCGACACGCATTTCTATCATACAGCAGCTCTTGTCAGCGGTGTTTTAGTTCTTGCTTATTGAGAAACGGCATACCTTCACCAAACCAGCTTGGACATTCAAGCTTTTGGAGAGTTCATTCGAAAGCCAGTTCCACCAGGTGCTGTGTACCTAGAACCTGGTCTAGAGTTAGGTTTTACACACAAGATGGTACACAAGATAATATTTTAAAGACAGAAGAAGAAGGAAAAAGTGCAGACCACCTTAAAAATGCCACACGTCCAGCTGTGGAGAAGGATGCAACAATTGTCCTTCATCCACTCTCTGAAGAAAATGAACCTGAGTTTCAAGGCCCAGAGAGGCGTGGGGCACTATTTTATGACTTGCTGACAGCCTGCCAGTCTCCCTCTGATGTGCTGGATCTGGCGGAGAAATACACTCTGACCTGGAGGCGAGTGAGTAACAGCTTGACCAAAATCTGGGAGACCACCAAGAAGTTGCCAGAAGAGCAGAGACGATATGAGAGGAGGCTGATGTTCGAGCACCCAGTTTTCGAGCAGCTTTGTCAGCGCTTGATGGAGGATTCTCACAAGATGAGAAGTGACGATCTGGCCTATAGCCTCCTGGCTTTGGTGAAACTTGGTGTGTCACAGCGCAGCCAAGTCATACAAACACTTCTTAGAGTCATCCAGGTATGAGAACCCATTTTCAGGATTTAAAATCTTGTAGATAAGACAATAAGAGCTTGTTTAAAATGGTGAAGAAACTTTTAAATTGTTATTTTTCCTTTGGGATTCAACACAATTGGTTAGTGTATTATTTTGGCATTTTAATGAAACTTAAGTAATCAGGTATGTTTGCTGTTTGTGGTATTTTTTTAATGTCAGCATTTTCAGTTTTTCTTTTCTTGTTCCAAAAGAGTTGGCCACTACATCAGGGCGTGCCCGATTCCTACATTTATTTTGGTTTAAAATGAGGAAAACGATCCTGATTCTTTTTTTTTTCTGATATTGCACCCTTTCACGAAATATTGCCGATGACGTCTCAGAATCTTGCGTTTTAGCTCACAGCCTTCTGTGCGAAGTAAAAACAAAGATGTCAAACAGAATTAGGATTAAATTCATTTTTCACAAAGATAGGTGGGGATGCTGCCAGTTTTTGCTGATGCATCAGTTCATTTTAGTTAAATACTTATCATCGTTGATCACACAAAACAGAGTCATGATAAACAAATGTAAAGTTAATTTGCATTAACAGATGTAACATTCTGGGTTTGCAGTAGATACTGATGCTGTTCTCTTCCTGCAGGAGAACCTGAATAAGTTTGAAGAGAGAGCTCTTTCTGTGCTGGCAAATTGCCTGGAGGAGATGGAGGGGAGTGTAAATGTTGATGCCCTGAAAGCTGGTCTGAGGTTAGTTGTTACATTAGAACTCTGCCTCTATGTGGAAGTTTTCTCTTCTGTTATCCCTTGATTATCTCCTTGTTACTTCATATAATTTGAATTTGGTAAGTAATGAGCATACAAATTTCACATGAAACAATATAACTATTGTGAGAGTCAGGTCGTGTGATTACACTGTCATGGCTGCACACAGTGTATTCGGTGAGTGCACATAAAATAAAAATATTATTTGAAAATGTTGTTGTTATGAGCTGGGTCTTCTAATATTAAAAGCCATAAAACATACTGTAAGTTTTTCTGAATAATGGATTGAACCCACTAATAAACTAATAATGGCTTTATGATAAGCATCATTATAGAGCATTGTTTGTCATTTACAATTAAGCTTTTATTCCATACATTATTTCATACATTCAATAAAATGTTTACTGAGTACAACTGAGTACTGTTATATTTGCTAGTTTTTTGGAGGGGGTGGGACCTTAAACTAATTTGCCTCTGGAAGTGATTCTGAAGTTGGAGTTATGCATATTTTTGGTTATGCGAAACTGGATGCCAAGTATTTTCAGCTGGGGTGTTTGCCCTCTAAACCACAGGCTGCTGGTTGAGATTCGCATTCCCAAGATTAAAAATGTGGCAGCCCTGCAGACCATGATGAGATGCATTGGCAGAGATGCCCCGGTGTCCCTGAAGAGAAAACTTGAGGTAAACCGTTTTATAACCAAGCTGCTTTCATGAAACTGCATGCTTCTCTCGACAACTAATTTTTAAAAAATCTGGCTTTCAATGTTTCCTTAGATTCTCCTTGTGTCAATTTGAATTTCTTTATTAGTTATATCAGTCTCACATGGGCACTGACATATTGCAATTTTCTAGTGATTTGTAGAGTTTATAGAACTGCCAAAGCAAAGAACTCTCGCTTCTTTGAAGAATTCTTGGTCAAGTCCTTTTACAACTTGATTATTACTGCCGCAGTTTGTTTTTTCTCTTCAGTAGCTCAAGGCATATCCTATAATATCTTTCAATAAAATGATTTTCTTTTTTTTTAACAGCACAAAGCACTGTCTATGGTAAGACAGTTCTCTGTCCCCAATTCTCAGTATATGTTCACAACACTGGCAGCAATGAATTTTCCATCTAAAGCTTTACTGGACTTCTGCAGTAACAAAATTGCTGGTAAGAGGAGCTTCAATATGTACAAAGTTGAACAGCAAAGAGTTGCAAGATCAGAAAAGCAGATTGCAAAAATTTGGTTGTGACTGAAAAGATTCATGAAGGAGAAGAAAAAAGTAATGAGATACCTACATCATGTGAGAAACAAACACTAAGTATAGGAAGAGACACAATCATACCCGTAGTCTATGATGAATGACTGCTTCTTTCTTAACTTCAGTCTCGGTGCACAGAAATGTCATTCAGGTGACAAAATGAAAAACGTTTCTTCCATAAAGCCTGCCAAAATTGAGGTGAAGTTCTTTTTTTTCAAATACAGCATTGGCAGTTAAATGGTTAAAGAAACCTAAATGAAGTGAGGTTTTCCTCTTTCAAAAACTAACATTTCTCGCTTTAGAGGGTTTGTATTTGCCAATCAATATTTGAAAAAACTGCCATTCTCCAGAAATGTGCAATCTGGAGGATTTTTTTAATGATGTTATATCAGGGGTAAAAAAAAAACAAGCTGAAAACAACATTATTTTTTTTTAAATTTGTTATGTGTACAGATAAGTACTCTGTTGCTGCCACTAGATGTCTGTATTTGGAATGTGTATTTTTCTAAATGGCTATATAATTATGTTGGTTGTATCTGCACTTCAGGTCACAAGGTCAGATTCTGTAATGCAGTGTAATCCATTTAGCAAGTTTGTTTTGCCTCTGAAGTGCTATATGAATGCTTGCATGCTTGCAATGCTTGCAGTTACCCTGCATAATTCCTGTTTTTGGGAAACAGCTGAATCCTCTTCAGTTCTCTGAGTATCCAAATGTGCATGACCTGTGTAAAAATGTATGTGAGATCACTTTGTTTATTTCCTTCCTGTACAGAGAACATTCATGGGATCCCCTTCTGGAGGTTGATGTATGTGCTGCAGTCTTCCAGAGACCTGCGGTACCACAATTACACCCTTCTCTCTGCTATTGGCAGTTATGTGGCATCCACCTTTGACATGTGGAGCAGTAAGCAGGTGAGCTCCGCTTTTTTTCTTGTGCCTATGATATGGCCAGTATATCTAGTCTTTATATCTTTATAATGCTTTTTAAAAGGATTTTGTCGAACAGCTATGTTACTTATCATCCCCATGACAGTTGGACTACTTACTGTATTTAACTAAAAAGTTAAAAACACAACGCTGAAAGTGGGAGCAATATTAACAATATTGAAATGGTGTCTCTTTCTGGCATTGTACCAATACGGTTACCAACATAGTGAGAGAACTGCATCGTTCTGCTGAGGTTACTGTGTACACAATGTGTGGAGGTTCATCAATCTCTTATCTTTTGGCAAGAGCAGTGGTTGTAAGTAAGACGGACTTAAACCTCTATCTTTTTTTTTGCAGGTTATCCTCTTTCTGTTGCTGTTTGAAGATCATGGTTTCCGCCATGTTGGGTTAATGGACACCTTTGCTGAGACAGTGATGAAGGACCCAGACTCCTTGATTCTGAAGGATGTCCTGAATATTTTGAAAGTATACTCCCAGTTAAACCATTTTCCTCAGAGACACGGACAGCAGTAGGTGCCCTTGTAATACTTGTTGGGGTGACTTTTATTACTGTATTTTTATCAAAATGTTTACTGGTAAAATATACAGCACCTGATGCATTTGTCATGTGAACCCAATTGAGCTGAAAACTAGAGATGATAAAACGCAGAGGTTGTGATGATAGTGGTGATAGATTATCATACCCTTTTCAGTGTGTTAAATTATCTAAAATGGGAATTGTGGACCCATATGTTTTAAATACCATGATTCACTGCATATAAGGTCCTGTAAAACTACACAGTCCTCTGGTTTTCATTCCAGTCAGATTCCTGTGTTCTAAACTGAACCAATAATTTACTTAATTAACAAAGATTAACGCGTCCTTTTGCCACCAAATGAAAATGCCAGGACTTGGGACCAGAGTTGGAAACAAGTCATTGGAAACAAGATTAGAAATGTGCTGGTGACTTGTTTCAACAAAAGAGACATTTACTGTACTTTAATGAAAAGTAAAAGTACACCTGTCCTTTAAGGCATGGGAAGTTCTTTGATATGAAAGAGAAGAAATCGCTGTGACTCAAATAAAAAATACCAAATGGAAGTGTTAACCCCAGGACACAAGACCCAGTGAATTCTTAGCCCTGCTGAGCCCTGCTAAGTTACAGTGAATACGAGCTGCCTCCCTCAGCCTTATTTAATTGGAGGTGGCTGCCTGACAGTTGCATCTATCCAATCAGTCAGACAGCTAAATGGTGCTTTGCTTACTAGTGAAGGAAAGATCATCAGACTGCCTGCCCAACAGCTCTTTTAAGCATTGTGAAAGAAATTTTAGCTATGTTTTTATGATGATCCCATTAATAGATGAAGCTTAGATTTGTCTCTTTCTTAAATAGAGCAATGATTTAATGGGGCACTGTGAAGAAACTGAAGTGCTATTCGTGTTTGATGCAGGTTCCCAGAAAGTCTGAGCAATGTGTTGGAGACATATCTCTCTAAGATCCTCCCTGCTGAGCTCCTGAGGGGAGTCTTCTCCCTCTGTCTGCTGGGACATTTCTCAAATGTGCTTATGGACAAACTTCAACAGAAGGATGTGCTTGATGAGCTGCTCTTTCAAGGTCAGTTCTAGAAGTCACTGCTTTTCCCATACTAGTCGTATTCCATATCTGCCATGGTCCACAAGGCATCTTGTAGAGTGTTACATACTCTTATAGCCAAGCATATATTAGAAGTTAAACTGAGACGTTTTCACTTTTTTATGTAAGGAGTAATCTGAAGTTGATTTTAGCTGTACTAGAATGTGACACTACAGAGCGCTGAGTCCCATGGTTACATCAGAGATGTTGACCAGATTAATGAGATGTTCATGATATTGGCCTCAAAGTGCTGGTACAAGTCAATGCAAGAGATCATTTATGCTCCTCATGAACAGTGTTAAGACTAGCCTTGGTTAACTGATTGAAAAAAAAAAAGACTGCATGTTACAGTACATAATTTTTACTTATGTGGAACAAAGATAGTCTTCTGATTCCCAAGTGCCAGACAGCAGATGCATTGTTGCTGACCAACTCAATATCCTTTTCTGCAGAGGGCAGAAACCAAGGAATGCATGAGCGGATGTTGCACTATGTGAACCTTTGTCTGCAGCTGGATAGTCCCTTTGTCTCCAGCACCACAGCGCTGAGTGTAGCCAAGCCACCCTCAACAACATTCCCTGTGAACCTGGAGCTGCTTAGGACTCTGCAGGTTATTCTGGAAGGGAGATCATTCCAGAAGGAGGTGCTGTTGGAGAACGGCTACTTCATAGGTAACTGAACACCTGCAGATGTTTTTTAACCTCAGGCTGTTTTACTTGGAAATCCTGAAAAATGGCATCCTTCATGGCAATTAACAGAGTACAGACACACTCTCACCTTAAATTTTGGAAAAATGTTTGGGATAAATTGTTACAAATCCATGTACATGAAAAGAAAATATTTTCTGGTACGTAGCTCTTTCTTATAAAATTTCCCCTAGTTGATTGATATTTTTTATTTTTACAGTGTAGGTATAATCCCTGCATGATTTTCTTTCCCCTTTTATTGCAGAATACAGTGTATTCCTTATTACAGAATGTGTTTGTGTGAACAGAACCAATATTGCCTTTATATTGTTTTACATTTCAGATTTTTCAATTACCCTGGAGAAGACCGTGAAAAATATCTGTGATTCGACACAGGAAAATGAAGCAGCTATATCTGAAGACTGCCGAAGGTAACAGTTTTAGTTTTTTAAAATTGTCTTGGCCTTTCATCCTGCAGGTTTCCCCCACCATGTGTTGTTTCTCGTTTAGGTTTTTAATTACAAATGTGTTTTGTTAAATCTTTTGGCCTGGCTGTGAAGTTTGTTTTTTATGCAGTCATCTTGTGTTGTTGGTCACAGAAGAGATCAGATTAACCTCAATTTCCAGCTCGTTCCCAATTGCGTCATCGGAGTTTCTGCAGCACAGAGAATATTCCCTCCTCCAAACGTGAGCCTAGGTTTGTTTTATTCACCACTACTGTCTTCTGTAGGTCCAGAGTAAAGTGTACAATGTGAGAAGTAGCAGCAACTTCAAGAGGGACTCCTTATCTTTCAGATGGGTTAGAGATTGAGGGAACAGTAAAAAAGGCTAGTGTCGAAAGGTTTGTAGCTACATACAAAAATAGCCCTTACAATTATCCAGGTATTTCAAGTTAAAGTCTGGTTCGTGTGTCTAGCCTACTCTGACCACTGGTGCCCCGCTGGACGTAGGATTGACACAATTGAAATGTAATTGAAAGCTCTGTTATCTGTAAGCGAAACAGCAGCTGCTGCACACCTGCAGGCATATCCGCAAGAGATTCACCACTCCTCCAGCTGCATTTCAAAAAGACGTCTATCCTCAGTCTCTCTGTACACTACAAGGAGTCATTGCGGTGAGCTGAGATGTAAGTTCCAATGAAATTCCATGAATTCCAATGGTTGGAATGAAAATGAAAATACCAACAGCGTTAAAAATTGACTATCACATTTTTGGGAAGGCATGAAATGTGGCAATTAGCCAGGGTGGCAAGGAAAACGGCACATTTACCTTTGAAAAATATACGTTTGAGGTTCTCTAATGGATTTGAAATACAGTGTTGGGTTTTGAAGCCTTGACTAAAGCTGGGAACTTTGACTGACAGTGTGGATAAATTCTGCATGAAACGATTTCTAAAGCACAATGTATTTTGCATGTAATAATCTTGATCAATGTCATTCTTTTTTTTTTCTTCCGAAACAGAATATGAAATGCTTATCTTTTGGGCAAGCAGGGTGATCTTATGATAATGGATAAAACTATTAATAATGAATAAGAGGGACATCCTGCGTCACGGTTCTGTAAACTGTGAAAAGAAATGATTCATCGACCACATGATATTAAACTTATGCAGTGTGACTCGAAATGAGAATATTTTTCTGTGAGGCAAGGTTTGACAGGGAAAGAGTTACGTCTTTAATTTTTAAGTGAGCGCTGTGTGAGTCATGCACGTTTGTCTGCATTGCATATTTGCTAAAGGAACTTTTCAAATTTCTGTCAAAACCCAAGGTTTGTCCCAAGGTATTGGGACATTTTTTCTATTTTTTAATTTTCTCTAAAATCAATACCTAGTGGTTTGGTACATCGTTAGGTGTTAATTTGTCTTGGCGTACATCGAATGGTCTAAGGCTCCAATGTAACAGTGCTGTTTTAAGTGAGTGCCCTGCTTTTTGAAAAACTCTTGAGTAAAACGCACTTTAGAAAGATCATGGTAAGTTCACTGTAAAAGTGTCATGTCTCATCACAGCCTCATTCGGCATGTGAGCTCAGACACATTCGGTTATTTGATGCCATCACCACACAAAACACTGTTTTCATTTAGTTAAATATTTAGTTGTTTTTATGTGAGCAAGGAAAACCGTGTCAGGCTCATTTCCTTTTATACAGAACTAAAATTATTTCTTTTTTATTTTTACCCTCCCTATGGTTTTGCTTAAAATTGTGCTGAAACCACCTTTATAACTTTCCCAGAGCTAATTTATGCAGAGCATTACTGGGAACATTGCACTGAGCAGTGTTAGAGGGTCATCATGAATTAAATGCAACATTTTCTCAGTGATAACATTTCAGCTGCTTTTATTGTTGTCTCTCTTTGTTCTTCAAATAGATAGAATGTGCTACTGCATAGTGAATTTGTTTCATTTAAATTTTACTGCAGAGGTAAACTCGTTAAAAAAGCTCCCACTGATAATTACTGAAGCGACCACAGTTTAAGACACAAAGGTTCAAGGTAGCTCATGCTGAAAGACTACCTCCAGTGGGAGAACTTTGAATCAGCTCCTAGGCATTTTAATCACATGCAATTCTGAATTAAGACTACTGACTACTGATCCCAGTTGATGTCACTGATCACTAGTCAGGTCCACAGCTGAAATTAAAATAGGAGGATTAGCAAACACTGCAGAAACACTGAAATGGAAATTCAGAAACACCTGGCAAATGGCGTTCATATAGACATAAGCAGAGTACTGGCACATGTAGCACTCAAGTTAAATAATTTACACCACCACAAGTTATTTTAAGAAAACTTAGTTTGACATAAATTGTTATGGATATATGTACTTAAAAGCAAACTACTATTTGGTATCACTTTATCTATGACCAAAGAGTATGTAGCTCTTTCTTAATTCATGTCCTGTATTTGATACACAATTTTTTATTTTTTAAAGAGTATGTGTAATCCTTGATTGTTTTTTTCTTATTGCAGAATACAGTGTATTACAAAATGTGTTCATGTGAGCTGAGCAGGGTTTATTATAGGAATGCGCACCATTGAAGTGTAACAGACATAAAGGTGCGCATGACTCAAAGATAAAACCAGTTTCTGGCATTGAGGTCTTATGCACGCACACACTAAAACCATAAACTTTAGATATACAGTGCAGTGTATCCAAATATGTGAAATGGAACTACTGTACTAGCTACAGCCTTGCAAGCAGACAAATGACTGAAAGTAAAACTGTTGAGCAAGCAAAAAAAAAAAGAGCAAGCCGTTTTTTCCTAAATGTTTTTTCTTCTAACGGATCTTTCAGAGTGGCAGTGCTGTGTGGACAATCTTCTTCTTTCTGCCTTGGTACCCTCCACCCCAGGGGCAAGCTGGCCATGAAAATGAGGCACCTTGCAGCCTTGGGTTATGACACTGTACTGGTGAGTCACTGCCCATATCAAGAGAAAATAAGGAAATGCCAACAGTTAGCCACCCTGATTCATCAGCAACAAAGGTTGCTGGTAGTAATCTTTCTGCTCTTAAACACCTAAGGAGTCAACAAAGTCACAGTGGAAACAGGTAGGCATGTATAGCAGCCATATCACCCTGCAACTCAGAGCTGGCAGCCCACTGAAGCTCAGCAAGTGCGAGCCTGGTCAGTACCTGAATAGGAGACCTCCTGGGAAAAACTTAAGGTTGCTGCATGAAGAAGTATTTGAAAGTCCAGTAGGGGACGTTCACCCTGCGGTCCATGTGGGTCCTAATGCCCCAGTATAGTGACGGGGACCACTGTACTGTAAAAAGATGCCATCCTTCAGATGAGATGTAAAACCAAGGTTCTGACTCTGTGTGGTCATTAAAAATCCCAGGGCTTTTCTCAAAAAGAGTTAGGGGTATGTCCTGGCCAAATTTCCCCCTGGCCTTTACCAATCTTGGCCTCCTAATAATCCCCATCTATGAACTGGCTTCATCACTCTGTTCCTGGTGGCTCACTGTATTTGCTGTTTTGTTTTGCAGCTGAGCTCTACATAAACTTGTGTTATCTTGTGCTTGCTTGTTTAGACATATGGTTTACTTGTTTCTGCATTCAGTCCTAAGTTTCAAACAATTCCTACTTCAATCATATTATTTCCTGCCACTTAAACATGCTGAAAAGTAAGCAGCATATCATCGGCTGGCTTACCATTATTTTTGACTAAACAGGTCTTAATAGGTGATTGCTTAGTTAGGATGAACAGACACAGGTGAGAATGACAATGAGCTGATGAGATACAGTTGACAATTCAGCCAACACATGTGAATAAGGGCGGTTATTCAATTCAGAAACTGGCACACAGATGATAACATATACAAATCCCATTTAATGTTTTAAGAGCTGAAGGGACATTGAAAACTACGCCTCAAATAGAATGTTTAAATCAGTTTGTGATTAAGAACTCAGAGCAGAACACTCCTAGGAGTCATGTTGGAAGCTACAGGCTCATAGGAAGCTTAGTGATGTGTAATTGAGATGTGTCAGGGGTTAACTTGAGATTGTTGATAATACTGTAAATGTCTGTGGTACGAAGATATTGCAGCCTTGCCACAATTTGGTTTACTCTGGTTTTCTAGGTTCCAAAGCATGAGTTTGAGACCCTCTCAGAAGAAGAAAGAGTGGAGTTTCTAAAGAAAAGAATATTTGCACAAACAGAAACTACAGGAGTTGTTTCAAACCAAGAGTTTGAAACAAGTCATCGTTACTAACTGAGCAGAGGGCTGCACAGATGCACAACTCATTCAAATAACCTTATCTGATATTGTGTATGACAGAGCTGGGGAAAATATACTGTAATTGCCTCAGAAGATCAACGAGCAGGTCGGTGATAACTGAGCATCAAAATCGAATATCTGTAGTAACAAGGAAATGGATGAAGTAAGAAACAACTGTTTGACCTGTGACCAAAGAAAGACTGGCTGCTGAGATCTGGTATTTCTAAACTTGTGACCATCCTGTTAAAAAAAAAATGTACCAGAGAGTAAACAAACTCCACATCTGCTGTTACCAGCTTTCTGTTTCTGTCAGGATTTGCTGCATTTGTATGTAAAGTCTGTTGTCTACATCGATGATATAGACATCAGAAACCTCTTTTAATAAATAAAAGTGCTTTGAAACCATGTAACTTGTTTTTTACTGTAAAGCATACAGTAGCTCCCACTTCAGTTCATTCGTGTGCTATTATACAAGCATGCTATGTTTGTGTCTGAATCTGATGCGGATCCACGGTATTGGTCAAAATTCCCATAAAATATATTTGTGTCTTCATGAAACATTTGATTCTAAAATTAATATAATTCAGCACAATATGCTGCAGTGTCTGTGTAGGGTTAGATGCAAAGGGTGCAATTTGGTTTCAAGGCAACATTAATTTAAGGAATGGATGCTTTTTAATGAAATTTAATTTAACATTCAATATCTTCACAATACTTCTGATAAGCTGACTACAAGGAAAGATGACTAAAGGTTAAGATGATAGTAGGTGAGTAGGTGGTTAGATGTTTAAGTACACTTTGCAGTCGATATAGAGCAAATTCATATTATTAGTAAATCTTAAAAAACAGTAGCCAAAGTGGTTTAATGGCTGCATTCAGAAATTGTTGAAAGAATGCAATTCACCACAGAGTGGCTCAGCAAGTAATTGTTTTATTACCCAACATGAATCTATGCTATGTCATTCTTAGTCGTAAGAAGACTTTACCAGGTGAAGTTACACAGTAGGCAATGCTCTGAGGATGGACAGATTTGAGTTTGCCAAGGTGATGAGAAATTTATTTGAAATAGACCCCTATTGTATGCATCTATGAGCTATAGGTTGTATGCATGAAAAAATGGATCTCTTTAGTGTACATACTGTATCAGTGGCAACATATCAAAAGCAATTAAAAGAGTATTCTGACAATGGGTTTATGACACATATAGAGGGAAAATTGTAATACACTACTTCTGGAGAAAAGCCACAAGCAGAATATAAAAATTCCACACAAAAGACAACCCGAAGCCCAAATGCTGTGAGTACCATACAAAAAAAAGAGTAAAAATCAAGTTGTCTTGGCCAGGAAATCAGTTGTCATTTTCAAAGCACGCTTGTTTGCACTATTGAATTGACTTCATTCAGAGGATACTAATTTTATTTAATTTTATTCAGTGTGTGAAATGCCACACAAGAATGGAGTTTTCTTGAGAAGTCTATATTTTCAAATCTTCCATCATTGTAATTGTTTTAGTACGAGGTATTCTAATAATCTACATATGAAAAGGGATTCTAATATTGAAAGTGACCTAGTTTAAAACGTATCTGTTTAGTGGCATTTTTACAAACCAAAAGTTTTTTTGAGTAACAAAAATGCTGGTAAATACTGGCACATCTAAATTGGCTTTGGGTAACATAATTAGGGGAACATTATACATTTATGACTTACTTAAAATGATGTATTTTGTGCTTGGTTAATAAGTGTAGTTTCCATTACAGCTTTAAGTATAAAATCTTTCCTTCCCCAGGATGCTTGAGGGTATTTACATTGTTTATTAAAAGCTTGTTTCAGTTTGATCAAGTTATTGATGCATCATTTCTGCTTTGTTTAAGTATAGCTTTCATTTCTTACATGTCATACTTTTTACGATGTGGTTCTTAATAACACCTATGATTCAGGGAAAAAAATGCACATTCATTCAAACAATTTTAGAATTTGCCTTTATTGTGTTTTTTTTTTATTTTGGGGTGATTAAGCAAACTTTTAAAGACTCTCATCACTCACTTATGTGTCAGTTTACATCCCATATTTTTACACTTGTGAGCTCGTATCATTTAACATCTCTTATCAGGAAAAAGAGATGCAACCTAATCGGAATCAGTTCAGGGTCAAATATCCTTTAACCTACACGGTGAAAAGAAAATATTGTAGTGTAAATGCAAGTATTGTTCTACTGGAAAAAGCTGTAAAGTCGATAACTATGATGGCTTTTTTCAGAACAAAAAAAATGTATTCCCTTATGCCTCCAGAAAATGTCTTGTAGGAAAGCTGAGCAGAATAAACAATGTTAAATGAAAATAGAATCAAAGGATTGCAAGATGGAAATTAATTTTACAACAGCCTTTCTTTTGTAATAGTTGTTCATTACCATGTCGTAAATAATTATTCTCTAGCCTGGAATAGCAATTACACACTAGTAGAACTATTTCTTGTAAATGGGCTCAACACCCTAGAAGTCATAACCACTCCCCTCTTACACTAAAATGTGACTTTATGTGTCCCAGAAGTGTAGATGACACAATAGGAAATAGAATCAAACACTGCTCGTGTAATTTGTTGGTCATACGTCTGATCTTTTTTATGGGTATTTTTAATGTGTGAAAGACTCCCAATATGATGTTTCCTGTTAAGAGAAGAGTAAGTATTCAATGAGATTTAAAACCACTGATCTTCAGGTTCACCCCACAAAATTAGCTGACTCTGCTGAAGGCTGTGCTATCGATGTCTTGGGAACAGTTCTTTACAGGAAACGATTTGTAGAAAAAATATTATCCATGTGACAAAAATGATGAATATAAGCAAATATTTTTGTCAGAAATACTGCCACTGTTCTGTGCTTCATTCTATGACTAAAATGTAACTTAAGTAATAAATGCATTAGGAATTAACTAGTTCTTAACTGTAAATTGTACTAAATGGGTCAGGTGACTCAAAAATAATTCTGTGCATTTGTATTCAAAGTGATTTTATTTGCTGGCTACAATTTCAGACTTGAAATTATTTCTCTGGATATGTGCATTTTTGCCAGAAAAGGAATACGTTTTAAAGCTATTTGATTTTCCACAAAGTGCCATAGAATATTATTTAGTCTTGCTAGTTTTTATTAAAGAAAGTGGTTAAACTTGCTATGATCTTAGTTAATAAAGCAATGTCCCTAGTTCCATGCTAGTAGTGGTTTGAATCTTTTAATATTTTAGCATTTATAATTACAGTATTTAATTCTATTATAGTTTTCTATTATATCACGCTGTGCTAAAGATGATTTAAATACTGAAAAACTAGGGAAAAGAAACTTTTTTTCATGTTTCATGATGTGTTTTCAAATGCTTTGCTCTCATGTTTAATGAAATGTAATTTGAGTATTGGAATGAACGGCATACATAAAAGAGGAAAGGCAACATTACACAATCAGGTCTAGGCACCAGCTTGACAAGCAAATTTCTAAACCTTCCCTTTATAGTCAGGAATGACATGGTCTCAAGGTTTCTTTGTTCCTGAAACACCTAGTTTTTTTGGTAAAATAACAGACGACAACATTTTTAAAATACACAAATGTTCTGCAACTTGTTCACAAAGACTGAGTCTGTAGTCTAAAAAAGGTACCTTCATTAGTTCCCAAATGGATGTGCCAAACTTGTTGCAACCTAACCAAGATGCTGTGATTTAGGCATGTAAAACAGGTCACTGTACAATACAAGACCCACTACAGGACAGTCTCCTTTCTAAAACTGATACCTGACTAGAACCATTTTCCTCAACCAAATAATGCATCCCAGATATGCTAGCTCTACCTGGCAGGTGCTGAAAAGAATATATTTGACCCCAAACACGGCTTTATTTGTTGGTCTCTTCAGTGCTGAAAAATGACTGCTAGGTTTCTGTCCTCAAAGAGTAGGCCCAAATTTCTAGAGCTTCAGACAGTATATTGATGGAACTTACTTTACAGTCTCTTGCTTCTTCACTTTGAAGGACGAGAGAGTTTGATGAGACCAAACCTCTATTTTCTGAGCTGGCCATCAGGACTTCCCATGCTTCTCTTAGCTTGCTATTTCAAATCTATATTTACCCATCTTTCAAAGGCAAGAAGGTCAGTTACAGTATGTGCCTAAACTCAATATGCCAACTTCAGTGTTCTATTCCAGGATCCTACCTAAACGACCCTTTAACTGAGTTATAGACAGAAAGCAACTGTTTGTGTAGTCCGTATTGATATAACTAGTAAACCCCCCAACTCATGACAATTGTTGCTGCCTATTTAAATCAATAACTTGTGTAGTCACACCATGTGTGTTAAGAGATGTGTTCTCATGTCAGGTTATAAGTTTGTAGTGGAAATACCACAATTCAAAGAAAAAATGAGCAGTTAAAAAAAGATCAATGTTTTTTTTAATCCAAATTTCAAGCGCACTTCAGCTCTCATTGTTATTGTTAGGTAAACGTATCTTAGATTTTACAGTGAAAATGTAGGCTTTACATGTGTGGAATGGCAGAAATTACAGAGCGAGAAGATGTTTGAATGTTTCTTTAATGATGAAAAAATGGCCAGCTAATGCCACAACTGACACCAGAAAAATGAGAAAGGGTGACAAAAACAGGAAGTACCAGCAAGCGAGTTCAGTGTGGTTGGAAGTTTGGTTAGCTTGGAGTTACCCTCTCCCAAACAGGAGGAGTGAACAGAGAGTGACTCTGTAGTACGGAGGTGTATCTTACTATCATTGCACATTCTTTCATGTTATCTGGAACATGAAAAACCTCAGACTCTTTTAAGTGTAAATCGAAACACTAATTCTGAGCACACTTTTGTATATATTTTAGATTTTGCAACTGGATTGTATGTTTATACTTTGAATTTG